TTTATGGCACTCAGCTGGCCTGGGAGCGCTTTGAGATTGTGTGTGGGGAAGTTTGGGTGTATGCTCTGACTGCTTCCCGTGCCACTCGGCAACGTATAAAGCAAAAGATTATGGATGCATGTTTAAAGGGCAAAAATGAGAGGATCCATCATATTATGTATTCACAGAACATCCATCAGCCCCAGGTCGACAGATACGCTATTATCAGTGGCTCCTCTCCACTACAACTGTTCAAGCATGTATTTTCTTTTTTTGGGTCTCTCTCTCTCTCAAGTCTCTCTCCTCTGGAATCTCTCTCTCTCTCTCTCTCTGCACTCTCACTTGTTGTACATTATAACTCGAATGGTAACTATAAAGATAATAGGATTATAGGATTACTATAAAGATTAAGGTTATTTCACATATTTCAACTTCATGGCTCGATTAATTGGTTCCAACCCCACTCACCTTTCCCTTTTGACGGCTTCACAAATCCTGACGCGTTGGTGAATGTTTGGTTACAGTCCATCATCAGGAGCGCGCTGCTGCTGCTGCTGTCGGAATAGTTCCCACATCCAGACGTGTCCAGCCGGCTCGCGTTCACTGCCTCTACGGCCATATTATCGTCCACGCACACCGCCGCGCCTCGCGGATAGACTGTGAGACAATATTAAAAAGTTGCCGCAGCTGTTGTCATTGTTGCAGACGTCAGCGAGACTCAGACGTGCGTATAATGGGAATTCCAAAATAATTCTTCGTGCGTAAAATGGTTATAGAACTGGGTGAGTTTGGAGAGGGGAGGTTTTGCGCAGCGAGGTGGAACAGCTTGTGTGGAGGAATGGGAAGCATGAGACGCGCTGCTACTGCTGCTGTCTGTCGCCCCCCCATCGCTCTCTCCCTTCGCTCGCCCTCCGTTGCATGGGGCTTTTCCAAGATTTGAGGGAAGACCACAGCAGCGAGAGGGGATGGGCTGACAGGAGCGCAGCAGCAGAATATTAAGCTGTTTTTTGGCACTACAAGAAATAAAGAGAGAGCGAGAGACCAGAGACAGAGAGAGACCAGAGACAGAGAGAGAGACCAGAGAGAGAGACCAGAGAGAAAGGCCAGAGAAAGATTGGGAGAGAGATCCGAGAGAGAGCAGAGACAGACCAGATAGAGGGAGAGGAGACAGGATTAGATGACCTGGGCACCCCACTTTTTGAAAATATGTATAAAAATTGTGTCATTTTTTTATTGCTAAATTTGTGCTGATTTTTGCTGCAGAAATTGGAATTTGTGTCGCTATAAGTATATACATACAAATATATGTTTCAACAGCACAAATTAGAGCAGAGTTAGCACTAAAAAATGAGACCATTCTGGGTTGACTTGGAGCAACTAATTGTGGGGTGCAAGGCTTATAAACACTATAAAACATAATGTTAAATATTTTAAATATGATTGCGGCACATATTCCAATTTCTGCAGCACAAATGCAGTACTAAAAAAGACACAATTTGTATACACCTTTTGAAAATGTGGGGTGCCTACTTCACACAGGTGATTAGATGATCATGTTTGATTCTCTTAAACAATATAGATGGAACCATGTCATGAAATACATACAGTGGGGCAAAAAAGTATTTAGTCAGCCACCAATTGTGCAAGTTCACTCACTTAAAAAGATGAGGCAGACCTGTAATTTTCATCATAACTATACCTCAACCATGAAAAACAGAATGAGAAAAAAATCCAGAAAGTCACAAGTATTTATTACTTATTTTCCACCATAATTTGCAAATAAATAAATTAAAAGAAGTGATTTTCTGGATTGTTTTCCCCCATTCTGTCTCTCATAGTTGAGGTATACCTATGATGAAAATTGCAGGCCTCCCTCATATTTTTAAGTGGGAGAACTTGCACAATTGGTAGCTGACTAAATACTTTTTTGCCCCACTGTGTATGGATAATCACTAGTTTTCATATGTAATGCAAAAGTGTCCAAACAAGCGCGGCCTACTGACAAGGATGTTATTAGTAAAATTATTGCCGTAAGTTACATACCCCAGCTTTAAATAGAATTAAGCATGATAATTGTAAAAGGTTTTAGTCCTGCTGTTGTGTTGCTTTAGCAGAATTAAGTCCCGGATTCAGACTGTCTCAAGCATTGTTTCTCTACTCTACTCTACTCTACTATACTCTTCTCTTTGGGCTGAGAGCTGAGTGAATGTAGTCCTCTCTTTTTCATTTCTCAGATGTGATAGAGGCCAAAAAACTGTTTTGAGAGATAGGAACTGGTGACATAGATTTGACCACTTATAAAGTTAAGTACCCCAGCTTTAATGTGATGTTGTGACAGATGATTCCAAAACAATTTGTGGTGGGGATGAAACATAAGTCTTTGAAGGCACAGGCCTGTTCTGATGCTGGTGTGTCATCCGTTGTTGAAAAGGTCGCTGCTGTCGTGTGATCGTGGCTCAATAAACAAAGGATGGAACACGGAACGAGATGAGCACAAAGACAAACATTGCGACAGGAGAAAGTAGCAGAACGCAAACACAGCTAACTCCAGGCCAAACCCACTGTTCACGTGTGATCTGGTCATTCCAGGACTAAACCATGGAAGTATGCGTGGGGATAAGTTAGCTTAACCTTATCTCCAAATAGACTAGAGGCCACCTGTGGTACTGCAGCTTAAATCCTTACGAATGGAGATTTCCCCATAGACCTCAGTGTGAATTTAAACAGCTTCCACAAAGGAGGTTTCTGTGAGGATGTAAGTCTCTTGTCATAAACTTTTTTCTTTTTAAATCAACGCTAACAACGCTAACAGTACAACAAACTCGTCCCGCTCTTGCTCTGGTCTTCATGTCATACATGTCTCTTTCTGGCCTCAGTCTGGTCTTGCTGGTCCCACTCTCCTCTCTGGCCTCCCTTGGTCTTTCTGGTCTCTCTCTAGTCTCTTTCTCTGGTCTTTCTCTCTGGTTTCTCTCTCTGGTCTCTCTTACTGGTTTCTCTCTCTGGCCTCTCTCTGGTCTTGCTGGTCCCTCTCTCCTCTCTCTCTCTGGTCACCATCTCTCTCTCTCTTTCTCTGATCTCTGTAGTTCAAGGACCTTCTTGTTTTGGGGTAGAATCGATGCAGCGGTTGGCATCTTGACCGCAAGCAAGTGTAAAATAGAAAAGGAGCTTCTCTTGCTGCTTTAATGTGAAGCTGGAGACTCCCACACAGCAGCAGGGCCCTGAAGGAAACACACACACAGACACACAGGAGCAGAGAGAGGTGGTCTACACAACACTGCAGAGGGACCAGTGTTAGGGAATCACACTTGAATATGTTAGGAAAGCGATAAAGACACATTTCTGTAGTTTGCATTTCTGGCTCTTAAAACATGCATTGATTTGATTGGGTTGACATTTTGCAGACAAAAAAACAGGACTAAACTCTCACAAAATCAGGGATTTTTATGTATTATTATATTTTTAAGTTGGGCTACGTAACTTTCAAACCACAATAATTGAACTATATACATGCATGTGGAACCCATTGATTGACCCAAACTGCTTTGAGGGCAAGAAATGAGTCATGGATTTTACTTCTGTCTCTCTGGTCTCTCTCTGGTCTCTCTCTTGTCCCTCTCAGGTCTCCCTCTATGGTCTCACTGGTCTCTCTCTAGTCTCTATCGTTTTTCACTGGTCTCTATCCTGTCTTTCTATGACACATTTCTGTAGCTCCTGGCTCCCAAAACCTGTCCTCCACAGGATGGAGAGGGCAGCTCAGACTGCTGCCCTGTGACCTGGCAATGGATAAAGCGGAAGAAAAGGGATGATCGTACACAGAGAGAGTCGAGTAAAGTACTGAATGGTCCACGTGATGTTGTCACATGTGAACCTTCATATGGGCTGCTGCTGTTAAACCGGTTTTATATATACAGTATATATCAGGTCTCTGCTGGTCTCAGGTCTCAAGTGTATGGTCCTCGCTTGCCTCACTCCATGATGTTCTAAACAAAATGCAAATGTCAACTGAAGAATTCACTTGTAAGAGCTGGTTTTTTCCCCTCAAAAAGGTCTTTCTGGTCTCTTGTCTTTGTCTCTCTCTCTAGTCTCTCACTCTCTCTTGTATTTTGTCTCTGGTCTGTTAACATTGTCCATCTGTAAACGGCCTACGCTTAAAACAGGGGAACGTGGGTCTCATTAGAAGAACAGGCGTGTGCTTCCACCTCCTGGACAGTTCTATTTAAACATTCATGCATTCTACTATATGCCTTTGTAACTTAATTTTCTGCAATATTTCTCCAGGTTATATGAGTCAAAAAGCAAATGAAGAACACACTGTGTGTAAAGATTTTAACCATAATAAAATATGATGGGATATTTCACAATTATCAAGTTTCTGAAACTACCTACAAACTCAAATTGAACTGTCTGAGAACTTTTTGTAGCACTAGCAAGTGGCCTCTAATGAGGCAGAGAATCTCCACAGTTGCTCACATGTTTGATAAATATACACTCTCTCTCTGGATCTCTCTCTCACTCTCCTCTCTCTCCGGTCTAGCTCTTTTATCTCTTTCTCTGGTCTCTTCCTCTGGTCTCTCTTGTTTGTATATTCTGTCCTCAGACCTGCATCAGAGAGGAAACACTTTGAGAACCGTTGGGAAAAGAGTGAGAAACCTCGGGTAACCCCACATTTAGAGAGGGATCCACTCCAGCAGCGATGAACGGGCGATGATCCAGGACTGAGGTTGTAGAACGACCAGAGAGAGCACAGAAAGAGAGAGCAGAGAAAGAGAGCAGAGAATGACCGGAGACAGAGACCAAAGAGAGAGACTAGAGAGTGAGAGACCAGTATGTGACCAGAGAGAGACCAGATTGAGAGAACATGTCTTGACATAACTAATGGCTGATATGACCATGGGTGTACTGTATCTCTCACTTCTGCTGAATCACAGTGTTAATGATTAACCGCTTATATGATGAGACAAAGGTGTCGTGTTGTCACTGAGTCTGACAGATCAGTCCAAACACAGTCCACTCATTCCACCATGTTCCTCTCACTCACACTGACTCTGCTGGTTCTCTGCTCTGGGACAGCTACAAGCGCCAACAGGTGAGCAGGCACACTAGAGAGATAGAGCAGAGAGAAAGAGCAAAGAGGGAGGGCAGAGAGAGAACAAAGAGAAAGAGCAGGGAGACAGAGAGAGTAGAGAGAGAGAGAGAATAGATTGAGAGAGTCAGACCAGAGAGAGAGACCAGAAAGAGAGACCAGAGAGAGATCAGAGAGAGCGATCAAAAAGAGAGACCAGAGAGAGAGACCAGAGACAGACACCAGAGAGAGACCAGAGCAAGAGACCAGAGAGAGCAGAGAAAGTAATCCTAGAGAGAGACCAGAAAATATATCTGTGAATGCTTATTGGTGTGAAAAACAACATTTTATTTTGTGTACAATTTATTCATGCAGTGATTATCCACTCTGATTTCAACAGAGTGGATTATGACTACTTCAAGTATCACCGCATGGAAGAGGTACGACTTGCTCATCCAAGACCAGAGAGAAGGGGAGAGAGACCAGAGGGAGAGAGACCAGAGGGAGGGAGAGAGGGACCAGAGATAGTCCAGAGGGAGACTGAAGGATAAATAATAAGGGAAAACTACTTTTAGATTGTGTAGAGTTGGAGCACAGAGTCAGTCGGTCCGTACACAGATATGTGATGTCACATGTTGTGCTGGTGCAGATAAGATAAAGTTTCCTCTGATCCATAATGATTGATTCTGATATTACGTATATACACGTTATTAAAGCGTAGATACATGTTGTTTGCAGATCACCAAATGGAAGTCGGACATGGTCGCCGCTCACAAAGACCTTGTGAAACTCGTGGAATACGGGAAAACCTACGAGAATCGCACCATCGACCTCCTTAAGGTAATTCCAAATGAGAGACTAGAAAGAGGGAGAGCAGAGACATACCAGAGAGAGAGAGAGAGAGAGAGAACAGAGACAGACCAGAGAGAGAGAAAGACCAAATGAGCAATGAGTCACTTTTTGACTCTTTGGGCTGAGAGCTGAGGGGTGGTCCTTCTCCGTCTTGAAAAGTTCATTGAAAGATGTGACAGAGATTTAATTTGTATTTTTTATCACATTGGCTTATGTCCTCTCCTTCTCTTTGATATCAGATTTTCCTGTTCAAATGAACTTTGGGGAAATTAAAATGAGGCCTTGTACTTGTATGTTTTATGTATTTCTCCTTCAGATTGGTTTTAAGGGACAGAACAAGAAGATCATCTGGATGGACTGTGGAATCCATGCAAGGGAGTGGATCGCTCCTGCTTTCTGCCAGTACTTTGTCAAAACTGTACGAACACTAAATTATTTATACATATCAATTCACATGAGATGTTTGTTTAATATTATTCAAAATTTTAGCTTCTGGAAAGTTCCAAAACGGACCCGAAAGTGGAGCTGATGCTGAGGAACATGGACTTCTATGTGACGCCAGTGTTGAATGTGGACGGATACATGTTCACCTGGACCAATGAGACCGTGAGTGAACCAGGACGGAACCAGGTCTGAACCAGAGACTAAAGCAGAGACTTGAGCAAAGAATGAAGCAGAGACTTAATTAGTTCTAAACAAGGAATAGACCATGGATCTATTATAATAACGGAATAGACTAGGACTAAAGGACTATAAAGCAGGACTAAACTCTGACTAAACCAGGACTAAAGCAGGTCTGTTGTCTCAGAATCGTCTGTGGAGAAAGAACAGAACTCCTGGTTCGTGTGGCTGCTTCGGCACAGACCTCAACAGGAATTTCTACTCCAACTGGGGAAGTGAGTCCACACCATGACATTAAAAGACATATTTAAATTAATGCTATAGTCACAAGTTTTTGAATGTCAAAACTAGCAGTAGTAGTTGAGGGGTCTCTCTGGTCTCTCTCCATGGTCTCTTTCTGGTCTCTGTCTGGTCTCTCTCTGGATTTGCTCTCTATAGTTTCTGGTCTCTGGCCACTCTCTCTCTTTGGTCTCTCTCTCTGCCTATACTGTACTACTATACTCCGAGCGCTCTCTGACCTCTCACTCTCTCGGAGAATAGTAGTATCTTTCTTGTCTTAGAATTAATCATTGTTGTTCAGCTAAGGGCGTGTCTTTCAACTGCTGCTCGAACACATACCCTGGTCAGGGGCCCGTGTCAGAGCCTGAGGCCCAGGCCCTGACTCAGTTTGTGGGGAACATCTCAGATAACGTCCTGGCCTTCCTCACCATCCACTCCTACGGACAACTGTTGCTGATCCCCTACGGACACCCAGAGGTCATCGCCCCCAACCACGACCAGCTGGTAATACACCTTTGCATCGTTTGCGTTCACTTCTTAAAGCTGGGGTGCGTAACATTCAGACCACAATAGATCTTTGTAATCATCATTATGCCACATCATCAGAAGTGGTGGGTGAGCTTTGATGCTAACGAGTTTAAGCTAAAGGCTTTTTGTATACGTTCTCCACCACAAGTGCAGCTCTGCGACGTCTCTGTGTCCCTCAAGAGATGTCAGATAACAGCAGTATATGCTCACGGGCAAGATCATTTAAATGGTCTTGTTCACACTGATAACAGCTTGTGGTAAGCAATACGAGATGTCCTGCATCTCAACAAACAATATCTTCTGCCAGAGGGATGAAGCTGGAACATGGCGTCATTGATTATTATTCACATAAAGGTTGCAAAACAGTAGAATTACAGTCTCGGGTGAATGAGAACTCACTTCAGTCCCTGTTTGCCTGTTTTTTTGTGTCTTTGTCTTCTTACTCTGACCGGCTTTTGTCACTTTGTTGCTCTCATTTGTTGCCACCCGTGCGTCCGGCAAAAAAAGGCCAACAAAGTCCATCTCCTGCGTTTGCCGGAGGTGTCGTGTCTCCATATCCACCGCCTCTGCCGCGCCGCACCAACGTGTCTGCCATGCCAGACAAACATGTGAAGATTTGCACGGACGTGCGTCACCAATGACACAGCATATTGAAACTTGACACAACACATCATCCGTTCTTAAAGCCCCTGAAGGAAATTGGTTCCAGCTAGCTTATGTTCAAATCTATTTCTTCCGCATTAAGACATAACCCAGGTCTTGTCTCTCAGATGGAGGTGGGTCTGGCTGCAGCTGAAGCCATAGAGAAAGTCCACGGGATGAAATACAAAGTGGGCACCTCTCCGACTATTCTGTGTAAGTAAGAAGAGACAGTAGGAAGGTTTTTTGTATAGCACAATTCATTTTAAATCACACTTTTCCACCATCCAAGCACACAAAGTAAACCATATCTGAACATGTGTAAGAACTATATAGGACTGGGTATCATCTTCTGTTTCAGAGTTAAATTTTTCAGGCTATAAAGAGACACTTAATGTCACAAAATTGTTGATTAGCCAACGGCAGGTTCGAAAATCAACCCATACGAATTAAAAGACCTAACGGTAGCAAGTAGAGGTTGAACGGAAGAGGTCCCAGGAAATCCCTGTGGTCAGGGCCTCAGGATCTCGGACAAAGTTTCCAATCTCTATGAAGTACTAGTAGTAGTACCAGTAGTAGTAGTAGTAGTCACAGTAGCATTAGTAGTAGTAAGTAAGTAAGTAAGTCATCTTTATTTATATATATTTTCAGAGTCGCCTTAAATGCATCACTCACTCACTGCATGTCACACACACACACACACACACACACACACACACTAATCACAGTTTAAGCATCTAACTTTAAGTGTAGGCTGAATCACCTCCATGGGCTTAATGTTGACAAGCGCCAGCGTGGGCCGCGGCCGCAGCATCATCACGGCAGAAGTTTGGTAAAGTTAGCTTCATATTCCCAGATTCGGACTTCTGCAGTCAATATCTCACGAAAGCCACTTTGTTAAACAAAAGTAATTGTGCTAAAATGATCACCTCTATGTTGTTTTTTCATATCCAATGCGCTATTTTAATGCAGAGCAATCCATTGAATCCAATGCACTGCAAGCGCAGAGAAAGGAGCGTCAACAAATGTCAAGACCAGCTTTGTAAACGAACATGAGCTTTTACGTGAAGCCAACTCTCAGCACACTATAAATAATGACCATATCTAACTGCTCCAGACTTGGAGTTCAACATTTGTTGAGTTTTTTATATTTTAAATGAATACATACGTTTTTCTTTTATCAATCTTTTATTGATTTTACAGTAAAAGGTCTTTACTGTAACATACATAAACAATTTATGTTACAGCATTTGTCTTTTTTATATTTTTTATGACTAATAAGCATGCATTTTCTTAACCAGCCAAAGAGTTCCACCTGTTTAATTAATTTCATTTTTGACTAAGGATTTGTTTTTTCTATGTAGTCAATAAATTACATTCTAAAAACTGTGATTATGAAATTCCACAATTCCTGTGTAGATTGAAATTAGGACTATAAAGTGCTCAACCCAATCCACCCAAATGGTGTCCCTTATTTTTCTGTTCTCAAGTTGGCAACCCTAAGTCACAGTAGCAGCAGTACTAGTAGTTGTATTAGCAGTAGTAACAGTAGCAGAGTAGTGAAGTCTTCCTGTGTCTTCAGACCCGAACTCAGGCTCGTCCCGGGACTGGGCGCGCCTCCAGGGGATCCCCTACACCTTCACCTTTGAGCTACGGGACAATGGCACCCACGGCTTCCTGCTGCCTCAGGAGCAGATCCAGCCAGCCTGTGAGGAGGCCTACAGCGGGGCCATGACCATCATCAGGCACGCCCATCAGGAGGCCTTCAGCAGGGCCCCTGAGACAGCAGCCTTGTGGGGGCCCTTGCTGCTGATGGCCATGGCCCAGTGGAGCCTCGGATGCAGCCTCTGATGCACACAATCAAAGGAAAAATTATCCACAATCTACATGTTGTAACTTGGTGTTGATCATAGACTGTATACAGATGGACATTGCTAACCCGCCAGATATTTGAAACCTAATAGCTATATTTCCACAAACAAAGTATTTTTTTGTATTGTTTTGTGATTTAATTTATGAACAAAATTGAAGAAACTTGTCCATGTACACTTCCCTATTTACAGTATAACTAAAATATGTCAATGAGGTAAACTCATTGACATATTTTACAGTACAGTAGCTCAGGTGGTAGAGCATTGGCCTTTGAGCCTGAAGGTCGTGGGTTCAAGCCCACCGTAAGACCTACTACACGACTCCCACTGGTGACTGCTGTCGTTGTGTCCAAGACACTTAACCCCACTTTGCCTGAAGCTCCCACTGAAAGATCTCAGCTCCTGTGGACTCACCCCCTGCAGGAGGATCAGTGAGGGGCTGGTGCTCTGTGGACTGGGTGGCATCTCTGGCCACCCCCCCGACCCAGAAATGGATTAAGGGGAAGAAAATGGATGGATGGATGGTAAACTCACCACTTTTGGCTTAAAAAGGCAGTGGTACAATACAATACAATCTATTCTTGTATAGCCCTCAATCACAACAGCAGTCATCTCAGAGGACTTACAAAACCGTTGAAATCACCATCATAGATCAGAGAATCAACAGTTAAGACATAAAAAATATCAAACACTTATGTACTGGTCCATAGGAAGAGACCAATGTCCATACATGTTGTAGAATGTTAACCTGTCCTGGATCATCACCACAGTCCTTCTTGTTAGACACTAACTGTCTAACAGACCCTCCTAAATCGGCAAAGGAAAAACTCTAAAACCCAGTGGGAGAACATTTAGAAACCTCGAGGAGATCCCCTTTGAGAGAGGGATCTGCTCCACACGGACACTCATGCTTAAGGTCCAGGACCTAAGCTACAGAACGAGGACCAAGGTCACGCAGCGGCCTCAGAACGTGGACAGGTCCGGTACAGGACTGAAGCAGCTCCCAGGCGGGTTGGGCAGGGCAGTCCGCATGTGCAGATGGAGGTGGCTGGGTTCAGAGATCCTGTCGTCGCGCCATGAAACAGACAAATGGGACAACGGGTGGATAGCAATGAACAGACTACAGTCAAATCCCTAATAATGCAGACAGATAAAGTAGGAAGGAGGAGTGGATAGTGCTCAAGTTACCATACTACTCCCAGCAAACTGGCTCCCTGCGCAGCTTGACTGATAATCTAAGATTCTTAGCGTTCCCTGCGTCTTACTATACCTAACTATTTGCTAAATTGAAGAGGCCTTAAGCCTATAGCCTTGAATGTAGAGACCGAAGGACAGACAGCAGCAGCCACGGGTAGGCTAGCCCTGGCTACAGCACCATCACCTGTGGTTTGACCATAGACCTGGATATAGATAGTCGATGCTAACCCGCTAGCTCAATCAGTTTTTTACTTTTCTATTGCCTTTATAAGTAAAAGGAAGTCACACACTATGAATTTGCATTGGCAATGAAGCCCAATAGGTAAGTGCTAAAGGACGAAGTTTTGCTTCAACTCTCTCTGGCTCCTATTGACTTACTGTACATGTAAAAGTAAACACCTCTAGCTCAGTTACCGTTTGTGTTACACTCACCATTTTGGGCTTAAATATCTGTGGTTGAATGTTTCCTGTGATCCTGATATTGTGATATTGTCTTTGGTCAATCCTTAAATGGCATATCTGGATTCCTATCAGATGCCTTCATTATTTGGGGAAACTCTAGCTTGCATTAGCAAGCGTCTTAGTAACGCATCTTGCGCTGTTACGGCACAATGTTAACTCTGTGGCAGATTTGCCCATAACAGGAAATTGGCTCAGGCTAAATTATGTTCAAATCAGCCTTTTCCCTATTCAGGCTATATGGTGATGTCACAGTTAGTCAGTCCACTCCTTAAATATAGTTTGTGGATAGTAGTGGCGGCTGAATTCGGGAACAGAAGGCTCTGGATTTTTTTTGAGGGCTCAAAGAAGAAGAAAAATAAACAACAAAGTGTGTTTACTCTCTCACACATCGAGAGTGGTGTCCTCTGGTGAACTCTCCAAACAAGGGACAAGGTTTAAACACTTCTGAATTATAGAGTTTTTGTGGTGTTATTGATTAACAGACCTGGAGATAAACAGGAGTCTTTAGTATTCAGGCCTGTTAGCATTGTCCATCCGTTTACAGTCCATCACAGATTTGAAACTGTGATTGAATCCATTTGCACACAATTGTACAAAGCTATATTTCCACAACAAAGTATTTTTATTGTTTTGGGATTTAATTTAGGAACAAAAAAACATAATGTACAGTAGATCACATGCATTTGGTTGACAAAAAAGTCAAGAAAATCCAGATGTTTCAGCCTAAAAATCTTTCAAATCAGTTTCAAAACTTAGTAAGTGAACTATATGTGACGTCTCAGCACAAAGGCACCAGGACGGATTCACTTTTTCTCAATAACATGAAATTTAGTTTGTCAAGTCCCACTCCCAGCCCACAGTGACAACTTCTCTTTCCTCTTACTGCTTTCTCTCTTTCTAGTCTCTCTCTTTCTGGTATCTCTCTCTCTGGTCTTTCTCTCTCTGGTCTCTCTCTTTGGTCTCTAATCAGTGTAAACAGTTCTGTTAAAATGTATTGTTTCTCAAAATAAAAAATAAGCAACAAAAAAGTAAAGTTGTGTCTTAATTGTATTTTTGTAGTAGTTTGTTTCGATGTCATTATTTTACGGAATAATCTTTTATTTTTGATATATATATATATATAAATATCATACATTAATTTAAATAAATCTGGTGGAAAACTAGACATTTTTTGGTGATTTTCTCAGAATTCCATTGATTTGAATGGTAGAACAGAAAAAATCTTCCCTGGGAATTCAAGAGTTGGACAAACGTTTCACAAATAGAACACTTGGTCCTATAATGTTGGCATTTTCCTCTTTATCTTTTGAAAATAAACCTATTTCCATCAATATTTTATTTATTTTTTATGCATTTGGTTGGGACAGTGCATGTAATGAACACACCTCTCCAGATTGTAGCCATGGGCTAATTTGCATCAAGGAATCATATAATCACCTTGAAAAACGATGTACTTGCAAAAAGCTTCAACTCCTGTTTAAAACTCACCTCTATCTGTCGTTATTTCCGGGCTTTTTAATATTTGACTTGTTTACGAGCGTGTAAAAGTATAAAGTTCATACCTTTAGCTCATAAAGAAGCAGTTAGCTACGTTCTTGTCAGTGAGAGGATGTGGACTGTGCTGCTGTGTGTGAGCTGTGTGGGGGCAGCTGCTAACAGGTACAACTCTTAACACTATTCTCACCTTTTGGAAACATTTAACATTACAGTTTTTAAAGATGTTTTCCAAGCAACCAAAAATGTCATTCAAATGAATAGCGAAGTCAAAATGACGGATTTGGGAGTTAAACATTGTTTAACTCCAGCGCGTTGGGTGACCTTGGTCTGTGAAATGCGCTATATAAATAAACATTACTTACTTAGTTACTTACTTACTTAGAAATGACCTTTTACATAAAAGTGATTTTACATAAAATTGACTTGTATGTAAAAGGTAATTCCATAAAAAGTAAGGATTTAGATTGACTGCTTTGGGAGTTCTAGTTTTAAAGCTATGGTACCTAACTTTCAAGCCACCGAAAATTTAACCTGTCACCCTATCACTAATTTTCACACATAAACAAAGAAAGTCAATAGACTGTCATTTGTAAAACAGTGTACATAATGTGTTCATATTCATCTGAGAAAGTTTTGATTGTCTTAATTAAAACAATATTTGCAAAACAATTCTCAAAAGTCTTTAGTTCAAATGTAGCCTGGCCATAGCCATCCGTACACTCCGCTTAATCATCATTTCCCTGCATGTAACGTCTGGGTCTGGTCCCTGTGTTAGCGAGTACAATCGGTTGTATTTCAACCGGCTACTCAGAGAGCGCGGAAGGCGGGTGTTGTAGTTCGGTGCCGGTGACGTCAAGAGTGTGCGTCGAACGGGTAGGTTGTAGTTTGGCAATGGCGAAGAATGCGATAGTAAAGTAATCCGGTCTGGTTCTATCAAGAAATTGAAGCAGGAGCAAGAGGAATTTTTAGCAAATGTAATCGCTGGTCAAGATTGTGGCGCTACTCCCCACGGGCTCCGTTAGCGGCAAAGGAGATGGCTAGGCTAAATGCTAAATGCAAACAACAGGCTCGGGCGCATTACATACGTCATGGTAAACTCAGATCCAATCGTTTCAATCTGCAAAAGGAGTTAACCCCTCCCACCTGTTCACGGAGCTCAATGGAGCAAATCCAGACCTTAGTGTGAAATGTAATTTGTACTAAGGTCTGGTACAACCAGGCTAGTTCAAATGTAACAAAAAGATGAAACTCGTCCCAAAAGTTGGGAGTCAAAAGTGAGTAAAGTTGCTACTGTGCTTGTCCCACTGGCAATAGTGAATTATTATGACATGAGTTTAGTGTGTTTAAGATAATCGTTTTCTTCGCTGTTAATCTCTTGAGCATAAACCAGAGAACTCTGTCAAGGCCAGAGCCATAAAGGACACAGGAGCTGCTGCCTTAAAAGTTACTTATATAAATAATATCTATTTTAGTACAGTATATTGTTGGCAGCACGGTGGCGAAGCAGCGAGCTTGTGCTTCACAGCAAGAAGGTTCTGGGTTCAATTCCACCTCCAGGCCTATCTGTGTGGAGTTTGCATGTTCTCCCTGTGTCTGCGTAGGTTTCCTCGGGTGTTCTCCGGTTTCCCTACCACTAAACATATGTGCAATAGTCTGAATGTATGAGTGAATAGTCGGCGTCTCGCTTCATTGTGGAGAGAATGGAAACTTGTCTGAACTCTGAACATTGATCTGTGAATTGTGCAATATCATTAAAGTTCACTTACTAGTTGTCCATTATAATGTGATTCCCTATGGTCTCACTCACTGGTCTCGCTCCCTTTG